AACTACTGAGAAGTTCATCCCTCCCCACTTCCTCAAAGACTATTTTTAAGTAGAAGTGTTCATAATTGAGACAAGCAACACAAGCATCCATTTGCTTTTCTGTTTTGTCCTTTCCAAGGCACTTTCATATCTAAGATGATGTTTGATCCCTAAAGTTGTTTGTGGATGGTTAAAAAGGCGGGAGTCTCAGCAGAGAAGTGATACACGGGGAGGTTAAAGGCTTCCTGGGGCTTGGACAGCTGCTTAACACAACTGAGAATCTAGAACCTATTGCAAGTCCTGCATTCTTCTTACGGTCACACCAAAATTCAGGACCTGTATGATCATAAATTCTCATTTTGAGTCCCTGTAGGATACTGTACTCTATTCAGCGTGTTGCTTTTATTATTTCATTTCATCTTTGAAAGAGCCTTAGGAAGAGGCAAATTTGGTATTATCCAAACTTTACAGATGAAGAAAATAGGGTTCTGTAAATAAGAGAAATAACTTGTGATTTCACAATTAGTAAGTGACAGAAAAGGGGCTTAGAGTCCTATCCAAACTCAATGCTTCCAGCCAGTCTGGGAGTTGATTGTGCGATGTCTGTGCCTCCCAGCCATTGGGCCTCAGTTACATTGTTGCACTCCAAATCCAGGTCAGAAAGTACTCCTACATTCCTTTGTAGATCTTATCTGGAACTATAATAAATAACATCTTTGTAAATACAGACAAAATGTTCTTTGCTACCAAGCTATGTATAAAATATCTGACTCCCAAGGGAGTCCAGGTCTCTAAAGTAGTGGGAAATGAGCAAAACGAGAGAAATGTAGCAGAGAATGTCCTGAACAGGTTTCTAAGTAGCGAGGATAGAACTGCAGAGTTTCAACACCAGCATGCTCCAGCAGGTTCCACACACGAACTGATAGGAATGAGTCTTAGAATTTTGTGAAGGCGAAATGAGCCCATCGGGGTAAAATGCTTAGCATAGAGAAGGGCCCAAAATGAACATTCAATACATGTCAGTGTAAAACAAACACATTAACAGACTGTTTTAGGTTCAAAGACGGAGCTAGGAAATCCTTTCTTACAGAAAGGCCTGGGGTCTGAATCCAGCTGATCTTGGAAAACCCTCCCCATCAGCTTTTCATCTGTTAAGTGAGACCATTTTGAGCAAGTGGTCAAGTTTTTATTTCTAGCCAATGTAAATTGTATGACTGCCAAGTTTCCCTCTTCCTTCTAACCACGTGGATGCTGAGCACCAATGTGTGTGCCTGTTGTAGCAAGCTCATAACACGTAGAGTTGCTGTGGTCTGCTCTGCTTCCTTGTTTTATTATTTATCTTGTTCTGATATATATATATATATATTTTTTTCTCTCCATCTTCCACTGGATATTTTTATTTTAAAAATTTCTTACATTTTAAATTCTTTTATGTAATGCATCTTTGGTAACTTAGACAAAATATAGTTTTGAGAGAAGCTAAGATGTTAGTAAGATTGTTTAGTGTGGAAGTGGGAGAAACTTTTACATAATTGCAATCAAAGGATGCATTTGATTACACCATCTTGGACAAGTTGTTTAATCTGCCTAAGTTTCCTCAGTCACGAAGTGACACAAACGGCTTATATGTTCCCCATAGACTGATTATGAAATTCAAATGAAGTAATGCATTTGGCAAACATTAGCCACCACTACCAATTTTCATTATTCAAGTTTTTGTTCCTGCTCAGTGCAGATATTCCACTACCGGTTTATATAAAATAGGGCCTGATGATGGTTTTAATGTGTGTGTGTGTGTGTGTGTGTGTGTGAGTGTGTGCGTGTGTGTGTGTGTGTATGAGTGTGTGTGTGTGTGTGTGTTTGAATGACAGACTAAGAGAGGGAGAATTTTACTATGCATTGTTTCATTCCACAAATGGCCACCACAGTCAGGGCTGGGCCAGGCCAAAAGCAGGAGCTGGGCACTGCAGCCAGGTCTTTTATATGTATGGCAGTGGCCAAGTCCTTGGGCTCTCATCCACTGCCTTGCTTGGCACATTAGAAGGCAGCTGGGTCAGAAGCAGAGTATCCAGTATTTGAATCGGCAATCCTGTGTGAGATGTCGTCAAAATAAGCCACTGCTGGCCACTGTTGGTGGTTTTTATATGGAGATCTAGATGCGCTAAGTAATTTGAAGCTTTCCTAAAAATGAGGTAAGGTTGCTGTCATGTGTGGGCCCTAGCTTTGGAAGTGGCAAAGACATTTTCACATGACAGCCATGATCCTCTCATTTCTGATGGAGCAATCTGGGGCTGGATGTGTAGGAGATCTCAAGGCAGAGACAGCTATAAATTTCAATGGTGAAACATAAAATGGTTTACCTCCAATTATTTATCCAACCTACTTTTATTAAACTTCTGTTAGGTATCAGGCTTCGAGGAAGCATTGGGGAGTGAGGTAGGCATGTGTCCGCTCTCTTAAATGTTATGGTCTAATGCAGGAAAGCCTGTTGACAGTTATAATACAAGCAGTGTGATAAGAGAGGAAGCCCAGGAAGCCATGGGAGCCCAGTCAACTAATCCTAATCTGCCCCCAGGCAAAGGACCCTAGAAGAGGCAACAATTACAAGGATCCCAGAAGGATAAACAGATGGTCAGCAGGTAAACTGGAAGAAAGTATGCAAGCGAGAGGGCAAGGGTACACAGCAGAGCTGGGCTTGTACAAAAAGCAAATGCCAGAGAGGACACAGCAAGTTTGGGAAGCTAGCAGCAGTGGTTTGCATCCAAAGGCCTGCACAGGCAGGTGTCAGAGCAGGAAGACCCCTGTAGCCCGTGGTAGGGAGTTCAGGCTTTGTACTGCAGGCAGTGAGGAGCTGCTGAGATGCGTTAAGGCTGAAGGTCATGTAGTCTCTAAATCATGTCATTTCCCACATGTAGAGGGATGTTGGAATGTAGCCAACACCTTCATTTTCAGGGGGTGGGTTGGGAAACAGGGGTGAAGTTACTTGCCTAACATTCTTCTGCTAATTGCAAAACTACAACCAGAAAGCAAGTTTCTGAATTTCCAACACAGTGGCTTCAGAAGACATCAGTGCTTGTTCCTTTTTAAACAAACTCAAGGGCCCAGGAACTATTTTCGTCTAAGATTTAGCCAAATACATAAGTAACAATCTCACTCTTTTTTTTTTAAAGACAAAGAACAGAAAGAAAAAAAAACTTCCAGAAACTGCAATATCCAAAATCATATGCCCTTTCACACAGGATGCGATTGATTGGAAATCTGTTTGGTATTTGTCATCACCGGCATTCAAGATCTCAAGACCACGGCAGAAGGGCCACTGTTGTGGAAGAGTGGATTAAGCTGCTGCTTGCCCATCAGCATCCCATATCAGAGCACAGGTTTGGGTTTTGGTTTTGGCTACTCCACATCCAATCCAGTTCCCTGATAAAGTACTTAGGAAGGTAGCTGAAGATGGATCCACGTACTAAGGGTCCCTGCCACTCCGGTGGGAGTTCAGGATGGAATTCCTGGATCTTGAATTCTGACTCTGGCCTGGCTGTGACCTGGCTGTTATGATCATTAGGGGAGTGGACATGTAAATGGAAGATCCCTCTCACTCTCTCTCTGATGTTCTTCCTTTCCAGTAAATAAATGAGTCCTTAAAAAAAACAATTATGGTGGAGAATAAAAATTTTCACATAAAAAAAAAAAGAAAGAAAACAGTTCCATTTTTACAGCTTTCCTCCAAAAGCACTCCCACAGCTTTCTCACATGAAACCAGGGACGGAATTGTGTATGTTGATACATATGATATATGAGTGATCCTTCCGCCAGTTTGAACTAGAACGAATTGAGTAGTGCCCAGCTGTGCAGGACGGTGACGGCTGCGCACTCGGGAAGAAAGAGGGAGGTCGGTGAGGACGCAGACTTCGTGAGTCTCTTTCTGAGATTCGAATGACGTGGCACCTCCTTACAGAGCTCTGAAGGGGAACAGCAGAGTGATGAAGCTCACACGGTGGTACAGGCAAGCATGTATTCAAGAGAGGCTCCCTTTAACAAACCAGGACCTTTCCATCTGCATACACTCCACAATGTCCTAATCACCATCACATGACCTGCCCTGGGAGGGCACCTCTCTCTGGAGGCAGAGTGGTAAGGTCTTGCTTGGGCCGTCTTCAGATTCAGCCTGGTGCAGCCCCCTCCAGCCCGGTCTCAAGGCCCCACCACACAACATCCTGGTGAGCGTTGCTTCTTTAAGATTTCTATATAGCAGATGGGGAAGACTTAAAACGACAGGTGTCATTCCTTCCCGCCCTGGGCATCCTGGGAGGAGCTTCCTGTCATGCTTTGTGTCCTCCAGGCAGTGTTTCCTGTGTGTCGTTGAGGCCAGCGCTTGCTAAAAAGGTGGCACCTCCACAATTCTGCTCCGAGGGTCTGAAGAGGAGTGAGGCTAAGAGTAGCAATGGCAAGCAAGTTCCAGCAGCCCAGAACCCAACCCCGATCCCCATCCCGACCTCCAGCAATAGCCGCTAGCAGGTCATCTGGCTCCTTTCCTCTCTGAACTTCCTGTGGCTGGACCCGAACCTGAGTCAGGATGACTGACACCAGTCCTCCTCACAGACGATAAACTCTAGGAGGGCAGCACCACTCAATACTAAGCTCTTAGCACGGGGCTTGGAATGAAACAGGTGATCCATAACGCCTGAGTCTATAAATGAGCACGTGGGGATAACGTGAGACCAATGCTGGCTGTCCTCGGGGCCGCAGGTGCGTGTCCCCAGCATCGGGGGGCTGTGCCAACTCCTCTCCAGCGTGGGCGCAGGACAGCCCGCTGCCCCGGGGCGGCCGGCTTGCACGCTAAGAGGCTCCCTGAGCCCGCCCCTCGTGGCCTGGGTGCGCTGGCCGCACAAGGGGTGCCCCAGGAGCCCCTCGCCGCAGCCATTTCCTGCTCTTTGTGTGACAGCGGCGCCGGCGGAGGGGCAGGGCCTCGCGACGAGGGAGGAGTCGCGGCGGGCGAGGGGCGGGACCAAGGGCGGGCCGAGCAGCGGCCGGCAGAGCCGAGCGGGGCAGAGCATCCTGCGCCCCGGCGCGGGGCCCTGCGGTAACCTCGGCCCCTGCCCTGGACCTGCCGCAGACCCAGGTAAGCGGCACTCGCAGGCTTCGGGGTCTTCGCGGGGACCGGGATGCTGCTGCGGACCGGGATGCAGCCGTGAGGATGCGCGAGCTGTGGACGCGCGCGGGGGGCGCACGGCACCGCGCCCGGGTTGGCGCGGCCTGAGAGCCTTCGCAGGTCCAGTCTCAGGTCCTGCGCGACGGTTGTCCCTGTGGCCCACCGTGGGCCCCTTGGTGTGAACCCTCTGTGGAGAGCCGCTGGCACAGCGCGGAGCTTCGGCTCGGAGGCGGCTGCAGCAGCAGGTGCGCGGCCTGGGCCCGAGGCACGGGCCCGAGAGGAGGCGGTGCTAATCTCCTAGACCGGAGACACCTGCAGCGGCTTTGAGCCGGCTGCGGCCACATCCCTCCGCTTAGGCACTGCAGAACGCCGGCCCCTGCCTTTGCTGCCGAAGCCACCATCACCTCCCCGAGGCCGGCAAGAGCCGCCTGGGCCCGCCTGGCAGCCACTTGGGGCACACAGCGCCCTGCGGCGAACGTGAGCTGGGTGGGGCGAAGGGCGCCGTGGCGGAGTTCGGGGGTGGAGGGCTTTGATGAGGGAGGAGGTGCGTCTGACCTGCTTTGAAGCTTTCGGGCCTGCTGTGGCATCGCTGTCCCAGGCTGTCTGCGGGCTGGGAGGAGGTGGGGGAAGGGGTGAGTGCTCTGACTTCTGCGGGGGGGAAAGGTTGGGTTTTCTTGCGCTGTGAGGAAATGGAAAGATGTGTCTGTGTTGCCGTTTGCATCTCAGGCCAGCCTTACTAGCACCTTCAAAGGTACAGCCGCCTATGGATCCAGGGAGTTACGCTTCTTATACAGAGAACCCCCAGCTGGCAAGGACACTGTGAGTGCCTGAGTGCCCTGCCCTGCCAGCCCAGGGAATCTGCCTTTGAACTATGCCTGCCTGGTTTCACCAGGATATGGAAACCCTCAGGTGCTGGTGAACCATCAGCTGTCTTTCCAGCTGGGTTAGGAATCAAGTGAGGAGCTTTCCCTGAGGTTTCTGGTGTAGACGGAAAGGGCAAACCAGGAGCACGTGGGTTCCTGTACTGGTTTCCCACCTCTTACCAGCACCCCCATCAGGGCAATGGATCTCACGTTTCTCTTGGATGTGAGCCCTGTTAGAACTGGTGCCAGCAACCCCAAGGGGGCAGAAATCTAGGTCCACAACCCTGGGCAAGTGGTCGAAGGCCTTGGCCATAGTTTTTCTCCACTGTGAGACCCTCTCTGACTCCTGCATCTGTGCAGCTCTCCCCACCCCGTTCTCCATTGTCAAACGTGGTTTTCTAGAAGGGAGCTGTGGGCGCGTTTATCTTGAAGAGCTTCCTACAGAAGAATATCCCATTTGGTGCTGAACAGGTGCTTGAGAATTCACTTAATCAGATGTGGATGAGCTGTATTTTAATAGGGCAAACGAAGTCAAAATGTGTGATATCTCAGCTGCATGCAGTTTTGAATTGTGAGCTGGGGCGCTCTCCAAAGAGTCCCTTGAAATGACAGCGCATCGCAGCTGTCCACTCTGTGCATGGCGAGGATAGCGTTGGCGCTGAGAGGAGGCATACTGTAGGAGGGAGAGCGTGTGAGGGAGAGAATGAGTGGTTGTGTGTGTGTGTAGAAATGGTCAGGGCTCATGGTCACCAGAGGCATTGGTTGAACACCAATGCCCACTTGAGGGATGTGAAACTTTTGTATAGAGTTACTTGTTGGCACTGGCTGCCATCTGCCAGGGCAGTTATTAGGTCAAAAGAAGAGTGTGTGATTGCTTATTAAGCGGGTGCCTCTGGCTGGTTCTGTACACTGCCTCTGGCTGGGGGTATTAGCTCTCTGCTCACTAAGCTTCTTTATTATATTTCCTGACCAGTTGTGACCAGTTCTGTAGGCACCCAAGATGGCCTTGTTTAGTCCGTGCTGGAAAATGGCAAAGGAAAAAACTTGCTTTGGGCATTAGGCCAAGAATTGAGTATATAGTCCAGTAGGATTGGAGCATTTTAGTTAAATCAGAGTCAGGCCGTGAGCAGAAAGTAGACAAGAATTTGAAGTGTGGTAAGGGGCTTCCAGAGAGCACCATGCATCCCCTGTGATACCTCCGTGCCCTCTCGGTGTGGAGTGGGCCTCCTCTGTGGCTGTCATTGAGCAGAAAGCTGAATTAGGTGATGAATAGGCAACAAGCTCATTAACATTGGGAGCGGCACTCCTGGAAAACAGTGCTGGGCTGCAGCCCCCACGTTCAAGGCTCAGTCAACACACTCAAAGACGCTTGTTCTGGCCACTGTTGGCCCCAGGGTTCCACAAAATGGCCTTTTTGTAGCCTCCGTGTGGCCACCGTAACAATGAGTCTATTTCTTTCCTGGCAAGTATTAATTATTCACTGGTAGTTGACACAGCCAGACATCAGTCACCTCATTGGAGCTTTTGTGAAAGGCCTTTAGCCTTGTCATTTTGAGGAGCAAGGCCATGGGGCGGCCCACTGAGGATGGCCTGCATTGGCAGTGGAGGTGGCCAGAGGAGGCGGGGCATAGCGGCCCCTGCTAGGCCGTTGACTGGGTGGCCAGCTGTGCCGGGGGAGGAGCTGTCCTGCCTTTGGATGCGCTCATTGAATGGGGGCTGTATGAAGGTGGCATGCATTCACATTCTATTCATGTACTTCTTATGTAATCAGCAAAGATTTGGCTCACATGCATTGTCAACCCACAGTTCTTGCCACCTCTCTACATCCAAAACTTGCCTGAATTTTGCAGTTTCAGAGGCAGTTGGTCTCCGTCACCAATAAACCCCGCTTCAGGTTTACCTGCCAAAGGAAAGGAAAGCTGACAAGATGCAGTGTCAGTGAGGTCTTGGGAAAGCAGGTGTTCTTGAGTAGCGAGCAGAGGTGGGTGGAACTTGAGTCAGCAGGGCGGGGCGGGGGGTGGGAGAGGCTGAGCAGAAGGCTGGAGCTCACGTTTCAACACTGGACTTCAGGAAACACCTCTTCCTCTCTCTGTAGTGAGCATTTTGCGACTGACCAAAAAACGTGGAGGGCATGCCTGGCTCCCTGGGCAGACAGAGCAGCACCAGAGACTGGTGACTTGTGCCGTGCTTTAAATCAGCCACGACCCCTCTGATTGTGTAAGCTGAGCAATGGAAAGCAGTGTGCCTACCTGCCTGTGGCCACAGATCCTTCTGGGGAGATGATGTCTGCAGATCCTGGTGTAAGCAAGAACAGGCCGTGGAAACAGAAGAGGATCCCAAATGCGGGGCTCTCTCAGCTGGGTACCCTCCATCCCCTCAAGGAACAGTTTCTTAATGATGTATTGTGTGTGTAAACTGAGCCGGCGGTCTGTCTGCACCCTTGAACTAACAGGAAACAGAAAGGCATACTGTGGTGCCCAGGTTCTGCCGAGGACCCTGTACATCCCTCTCCGTGCAGAGACATTGCAGAATTCAGGCAGTGGTAGGCAAGGCATCCCAGGAAGTGAAGAGTTTGGCTATGAGCTTCCTAGCCATGACTACTAGGCGACAGACTGTGTGTGATGTGACTTAGAGGATGGCCATTGAAACCTTGGTTCTTGGGCTCTGGCGACAGAGGAGAAAATCAATTGGGTGCTAAGTCTTATCAGAAAATGTTTTGTAAAGGCAAAGCGTGGGTTCAGGTAGAATGCCATACTAACAGTATTCTGGCTAGCTGATATGTTGATAGGCTTTATGGCACCTCAGGAGCAATGCAGCAGCTGAAGAAAATCATTACAAGCTTTTGCAAAGGTCCCCAGTGGAGGCTTCTCCCATGGTCTGCTGGGTTTAGTGTTTTCATCACCTATAGACATAGGGGAAGAGTGACTTATGGCCTTTGATTAACCTCTAGGTAGAACAGAACAGTATTTGGTGCCTCTACCTCATAGGAGATCTGTTTTGTTTTAGATCTTTATTTGTTTTTATTGGAAAGTCAGAAATACAGAGAGGAGGAGACAGAGAGAAAGATCTTCTGTCCTCTGATTCACACCCCAAGTGGCTGCAACAGCCAGAGCGGAGCTGAGCCAGACCAAAGCCAGACCTCTCCCAGATCTCCCATGCAGGTGCAGGGTCCCAAAGGTTCAGACTGTCCTTGACTGCTTTCCCAGGCCACAGGCAGGGAGCTGGATGGGAAGCAGGGCTGCCTATACACAAACTGGTGCCCATATGAGATCCCAGTGGTGCAAGGCTCGGCCTTCAGCCACTAGGCTATCACACCAGGCCCTGTTCTCTGTTTTAAAATATGGGAGGTGGGGTCTTCTTTTCTTCAAAAAAAGAGAGGTGGTAGACTGCTCAGGACTTTGCAGAGACGGCACAGGGAGGGGAGGGGATGGGGCGGGGGGAGGAATGCAACAGCTACTTCTGTGGATGGAATCAGAAATCAACTGGGAATGAATAAGATAAATGTCTTAACTTCCCAGCTGAGATCAAAGAAAATCTGTAGGGTGGACCCTCATGGAAGACATTCAGTAACTCACTGTTAAGGGATACCTGAGAACTATTTTCAGGTTGCTCTTTTATAATGGATACTTTAGTACCAATTTGGGCAAAATTGGATATGAGTTTAAAATGAGGGCCCAGACCACAACCTCCATATTGGAAAGAGGAATCCAGCTTCTCATGATGGTGGAGAACGGTGTGATGGAATTTTGTGTTAAAGTCCCTTCAGATTCTTACGGTCATAAGACTGATGTCACTGTGGTGCCCTAGCAGACCGTAATGTTTGATTTTTTTTTAAACCTAGAAGACATGAATTTGAGTGGTTGGCTCATGTGTTCGACCGAACATTTACGAAGTGTTAATTCAGCAAGTGGGGTTTAGGATGTGCCCCGTTCTGTGCTGGGTGCTGTAGCAGGAAAGGTGGCTGCACCTGGCATTGTTGATGATCTAGAAAACCAGCAAGATGTACAACAGTTCGTAGTGCTGTGGAAGTCTGGACTGAGAGCCAGTCAGTGACCCAGAAAAGGAAGGGGAGATGTGAACTTTACACAAAGCGTTTTGAACTTGCCT